GAGGCGTGGCACTCACACGAAGAGCAGAGCAAATGTGCCGAGGCCAAACAGGTAGGCAGAGCCAATGCGAAACGCGTTTAGGCACATGAGCGACAGTGCAAAGACTGCAGCCATGAACGGGATGCGTCAGAACCTCGTGTAATGACACGCAGCTTTGGAGAGCTCGACTCACTTGCAAACATTCCGTTGAGCGTTGCCCTTTCCATGAAAGCTCTGCGCTCGCCCGTGAAGAAGTAAGAGCTTGCCAGCTGGACGGCCAAGCTGCCCGCCACTGCCGGCGGGCCGTACAACACGACAGGGTATAGTTCGTGAGAGAACCAGCTCATGCCCTTGTTGAGCACTTGCGTCATAATCAAAGCGACGAGATTCGCGCTGATCAAGCTTGCAAAGAGTGAGAGCACTACAGCAAAGATGGCTAGCGTGGTCGTCTGGAGCGAACCAAAGTGCTTCTCCGCTCGGACGGTGGAGGAGAGGAAGAAGTTGGCGAACGCTGACATTGCCTGTATGCAAGACGAGGTAGGACAGATTGTGGTCAGTTGGAAATGCCGCCTTTTTGCATTTGCGAGACCTCCATGACGCACCATCGAGAGGCCTTTCCACGCCTTGTTGCTAATGTGGATGAAGTACTTGCCAGCGATGGTAAAGTAAATCGGAGGCATTCTTTTGGGAAACTGTTTGACATTCGCCAATTTAGATTTGGGATCCGTAGTCAAGTGTTGCACGATGGCCAGCACATTCTCTCCAAAGTGCTGAGCCACTCCAGGCTGAATGTATTTTGGAACATCTTTTCTGGTGTGGTACAAGTAGCTGTTGCCCACAATGGCCATGTCCAACATCGGAACATTTCCATACTCTGCAAATTGCCGGGCATCCGTGTCGCTGAGAATGATGCCACTGCCAAAGACGTCGTTGGCCAAGATGGTACCGAAAGGCCGTGGAGCCTTCGCGTACGCTTCCACGAGCTGTTCCGAGTCGGCTTGAAAGAGCAACTCGGGTCCCGACACGCCGCAAGCTTCTAAGTTGACGACGGCTCGCACACTATGACGAGTAGGCTCGTGTTGCGTGATGTACAGGTGGGAAGCATCTTGCAACGACTCTTCGCCGTTGTTGAAGAGCAGAATGACTGAATGGCGTAGCTTGGGTCGTGGGCTGGTTGTGAAGATGCGTAGAAGCTGGAGGCAGATGCACGGTTTCGGGTCAATCGGCATCACTGGATCAGGGTCTGCAATGAGCGCGGGTCCGTTCCACGCACCTCGAGCATAATGCCGATGGCTACACCATCATCCGCTGCTCCAGGACTCGGCAGAGTAGAGTCAAGATGTCCATTAATGAGCACGGCATGCTCCTTACCCTCGTCCGTGCCATCGGAGAGACGGACAATGACATTGCTCATATTCATGTAACGCTTGAAGACGACGTTGTGCATAAAGTCGAAGCTGCGCAAAGATGCCAAGGCAAGATGGATACCGCGCTTGTCAGCTTTACAGTCGAGTGTCTCAAGCATACGGAGTCCTAAACGACGCTGCCACCTCGTCGTGGACGTGTGTTGCTATGTATGCTCGACTGGATCACCCGTGTCATTGCTGTTACTCCTCAAGGATACCCCAGCAGGCCAAATCTTCTTTCTCGCCCCACCCAGCGAGGATTCCATCTCGTACCACCGTACTCACCGATGAGCGCCGTCACCGATCTGCGTCCACATCTCCACCTGCGTGACATTTCCCTCACCCTCTCCGGTCTGATGCCATCCAATCAGAGGTTTGATCTCACTCTCCAGCCACTCTTCCGCCTGAACGTGTTGCTTGGTTCCCACTATCCTATACCCGATATCTATCGCCAATTTTTGCATCACTTGAAAAGTCCTCTCTTCGCTGAAAAGGGCTCCTTTGCCCTTTGACTCCGACAGAGCGGATTGGGCGAGCGTGATGGGCTGGGGAAGGTAGTAGTGCGACCAACATGCCAGGAGGGAAAGGACGAGGATGAATGCTGCTAGCGCGGGCAGGAGTAGCAAGGAGTGCGGTTTGGAGGAGAGGCCTGGCCAACTTTGATGGGTCGTTGTAGATCGAGACGAGATGGATGAGCGGGATGCAGCTTGACTGACTTTGGCAGGTGATCGGCTGGATGAAGATGATGATGTTGCTGGTGCTGCGACGGTGGTGTTTGGACCGGCATGATTGCCAGGTCGCAGTGCACCGCTTCCCGCCGTCTTGGGTGGCATTTCGTGACCTTTTACGACTGAATGGGCTCTACCCAATCAACGACGCCTTGTGCCAATGAGCCAGCCCAGCACGCCTCGATCGAGCTAATGACTCCGCGGGTCTCTTTTTTTCGTGGCCAGAAACCAAACCGTTGGCACCTTCGAATCAGAGAGATCTTTGATCAATGCGAGCGTGTGGAAGAGGAGCTATCTGACTTGGTAGGTGGTCGTTCTGACGATATGGGCCAGATTCGCATGTGAAGCCGCGCCCTTCTTGACCAATGACGGAAGAAGCTCGTATGACGCGCGACATACAGTCACAGTACACCCCCGCATTCAACCAGACACCCATGCAGCACAGCTAGCGCGCGATCAGAGAGAGAGCTCCGCAACGGTCCAACCATACAGTCAATCACGATGCGCGAGGCACCGACGGGTACACGCATCCTAGCTTGCACAGCATCTGCACACATTGCGCTACTTTCATCAGACTCGTACTTGACCGCGCTGTGTGATTGGTGGAGGTGCGCTCCAAGCATGGCGAAGATTTGCGCTCTGCCGCATGCCGTTCGGCGCTCAGCTGACCGCCGGCATGGGACGAATCCATCCGATTCCCGATACTCACACATTTGCGCGAATGTGGCTCTCTCTACATTCGACTCGCGACTTCGTTCAGACCAGCAGCCGCTCCTCAAGAGAGTGGTAGCAGTGATAAGTAGACCACGCATGATCTGCCAGCGTAGCAGTGGTGCGCTCGTGTGCATGGCTCTTCGACCTCCTCATCAGCTCGCCTCGGAAGTTGCTAAAGCGGTCGAGCTTCGAAAAGCATTGTTGAGCTCTCAAGAGCTTTCATTGTCGGTCGCTTCCCGAGTGAGAGGTACGACGGATCGCCATTCAAAGTCTGCAATTAAATTATATTACAGGCCTTGCGTCCGTGCATGGGGTATCGCCAGACTTCAACGCATGAAGCGTGAGACAATTGTAGACAAAAAGTGCACAGAGGTGTCAGGTGTGCGTAACCGACTTGAAATACGAAAGGGTTGTGAGATGGACGATGGACGGTAATACAATACAAGTGCAGAAGAGGCGAGGAATGGAATGAAACTTGGCATGGAAGCAAATCGAGCGAGAGATGAAGCTAATCAACAGCGGCACCGTACCAGCTAAAGCGGGGAGTGTGTGGCATCATGCGACAGCGGTCCAAGTCTATGACTGCCCGTCTCCGACATTTCGTACGACTCTGGATGGGCCGTAAAACCGCTAGCGCCGCTATGCTTGTGCTGACCTGCTCTTTGTCCTGAGACCTCATGTTCCTTTCCCGTGCCCGATGCTCCACTACTCGAGGCGTCGCCTCGGGCAGGAGCCCTAGCTTTTTGTTTGTACTCATTCTTGACCGCACGCGCTTCCCAGTAGCCCCTGGAATCAGTGTCCCACGTAGGCGCCGCAGTGGTTCGAGCAGCAAGATCCGGCTGTTCTCCTTGAGGGTCGTCTTCGGGAAATTGTCCGTGCAACAGTGCCCATTCTCTCGCTGCAGCTTGCTCCTTTGCCGACTTTTGAGCTCGACGCCCACCATCCAACACTTCCTCCTTCTCTGCCGCGCCATCCAGTCCTTGTCCCGGCGAGTCGTATTCGCCATTTCTCGCTGCTCTTCGTCGCTTGACGTAGAGCACCGCACCTGCTACAACGACCAACAGCCCAACGACACCCAGCACCACGCCGATAGCAATCTTCGCGCCCGACCCTAGACCTCTCGATGCAGTACCGCCAGCTCCGTCGTTGTCAATGATCGAGTCGTCTCCCAGACTCTTTCCTTGCACGCGCACCTGGTTGAATTGATCTATGGCTTCGTTGCGAGAAGCAGGATCGTTGAGTAGCCCCAGCACGCCAATTTGTGGGCGATCGCAATTGGGCGTCGCAGCACCTTGAGGAGCGCCGTTCAGAATACCATCGCAAGAGAACGCGCTGTATATGCTTCGCATAGCAGGCGCACCGAGCACCAGATCGGCCGGCGCATTCGCGTCGTCGACAAAGGGTTGGAAGCCGCCGATGCAGCCCGAAGAGCTTGACGAAGTCGGATCCGTCTGCTTGAGCGTCGAGTCGAGCGGATGGATGGTTGCGAGCTCTCCATTGATGCTGAGGGTGATCTGCAGCAATGTGCGACAGGGAAAGTAGTATCCGCTCTGATCCGCATTCGGGCCGAGTCCGTACGCGCCATACATGGCATTCAGGATGTCCCTCCTGCCATAATTGAAGCGAGCACCAGTGTCCCAGATGGCTTTCAGGGCAGTGTAATTCGGCAAAGCGGTAGAGGTGCCGTTGACCGTAGTGATGAGCTGGGTGACGAGGGAGGTCCATTTACGATTGACGCCGTCCGTATCAGCCACATTGGAGCCCCACTTGATCTTGCTCGCATCCGGCGCATAAGCAGCATCGTACCCTCCGAAAGTGAGCGTCGAGTTGCCATTGCCTCCATCCGAAGGCAAACGTTGCAAGCCAATGCTAAAGAATCGTGTCCCTGCAGCTGCATCCTGCCACACGCCGGGCAGAATGCTACCCGTGGCGCTGGAGGTGGGAAAGGAGTCATTCGCGGCGGCAGGTGACCCTTTGAGCGTCGCTTGTATGATCGAGTTGGCGGGCAGAGCGAGTCCCAGCACGCCCGATGCACCCATCGATCCCAGCTGTTGTGATTCCACGTCGGTGGCAGCTGCAAAAGCTTGGTCGAACGATGTTCCACCCACTTCTACAGTGCTCGTAACGATGTCTCCTTTTGCTGTGCCTGCCAAATAAGTAATATCAAATTCCTTGTTCTATCAAGAGCTCCATTACGTCTCAGCAAGCTTGCACGGATGAAGAGGCACGGAACATGGAGCCGCTCACAGTTTTGGTCGCACCGTCATCGTCGTACAAGTCTACGCCCGCGCCGGAATTTGGTCGACAGCTGGTGGATCGGCAATCTTTTGATGCGAGCCACTGAGTAGACGATCCAACAGTCAGCTCAAACGCGCCGGACTCCCGCAATATCCTCGCCACTCTGGCCACAAAACTCACCAGATCGCTCGAGCCGGTATCCAATTGCAAATGAAATTCTTCTGCAGCAGCTCCTACTTTGATCGGAATGGTGTACTGTAATTGACCAGCGCTGAAGCCTCTGCTCAACTGAATCTGCGTGTTGCTGCCTATAGCTCGACGTGCCAGTTCCACCTCGTCCGGCGAGGCTCGTCTGCGCGATTTACCCATTCGTTCGTGTGTCATCTTTGGCTCGGCTCGGCCCGGCTTGGCTAGCAGCCAGTCTTCGTTGGAGGATTTGCGGAGTCGATCGAAGGAGCCAGGTCGGGTGAGTTGAAGGTATGACGAAGTAGTGCGCTGCCACAGCTAAGGATCGCCTGGAGAGGTTGCAAGTTGGGGCCAGAAGCGGGGCAGTGTATGCTGGATTCCGAGCAAAATCTAGATCTGAGCGATGGTCAAAGTGTCGCTACGGTACGTGGATGCCGCTAGTCTAAGTGCAAAGGTCCAAAGCTATGAATCACGATTGTGATTGTCGATCAGAAGCACAACGAAAGCGTGTCTGTTGTGTGGAAACGCGGTTCCAACTCCAAACCAGCAGGATCATCATGCATGCAGCAGCCGTCAGTGTGAGTAGGGTATTAAGCTAAGTTGCCTAGAAATCGTATGTTCATCCACAGCCCTCGACTAACCTCGCACAGCGGGGCAAGCGGCGAGACGCTGTGCAGCCAAGGCGGCAGACCAGTCTGAAGCTAAGCATCGCAGCGATAGCAGTCGAGCACGCACATGGCGGTCTTTCCCTACATTTCACGACCTCACGTCACGAGGTGCATGCAGAGCTTGAACTCGTGCGTGCACACGCTTCCCCATCAAGCATCATGCATGCATGGCACCTACACCGCAGCCGTGCACTGAAGCAGTCACAATTCATAGGGCAATGATCACCGCTGCGCACGAGACGGTGCCGAAGTGAAGGGATCGTTTGACATTAGCCACCATGCTGGTCACAGCAGACACCTGCATGCGCTTATAACACACAGCAGCAATTGTAAGGCTGACTGTAAGCCTACAGCTTGGCCTACTTAGCTTGGCATTCTCGACTCCAATGATCGAGCCTTGGGACGCCCACAAGTCCCTTAGTGAGTGGCTTCAATTCTTCTTAGTCTCCCCGTGTCACTCTATCAGATGGGCTTGGCGAGCAGATGTGCGTCAACGCACGATCCCCCAAAGAGCGTCACGATTAAGGGGCTGTGCATCGTGAACGGCCGGAGTGTGACAACAGACGTCGAGCGGAGGAATGGACACATGCACGTTCGATGCGGTACCAACCTTAACAAGCCGGACCGATGGGCCGGACCTCAGAACGATCAAAATGAACTATGGTACCTTGATTGACACTCGTGACCAATACGCAAGAGACCAATCAGTGCCAACTCACGACTGACTTTGATGCAACGTACCAAGTCCAATGCGCACTCAACCATGCCAAACCGAACGTTAGTATCCGTCGCGCATGAACTCCAAATCTCATCCCCCAGTTCCAAGAGTTCATCCGGCTCCGACCATGCATACAGACGCCAATGCAGGCAAATGGGCCCGTTGCGCACCCTCTTGCTCCTGTGAGAATTGGCCTGCAGCCCACGTAGACGCAGCTTTCCGCAGTCATCAACGCAGGACAGATAGATTGCCGCGTACAGGCAGCCTGGAGTGGCCTTCTTTCAACAAGCCGTCTCGAAAGTCTGATCTTGCGATATCGCCAATGATGGTACATTGCAGTAGCGGCAGCAGAACGTCGAAGCAAGGAGCAGTCGTAGGCAGAGGGCAAGCAATCGCGATGCGATGTCAGGCAAAACTGAGTAAATATGAAGCTAATGTCAGCTGCGGTCGATATCCTCCTTTCAAAAGCGTCGGGTGCTTCTACTCACCGATTGAAGGTGCCCTTGGTCATCCAATCGCTACCTTGCGTCTTTTTACGCTCCTGACCGATCCCGTACACCTGCTTCATCGCTTCGCTCATTCCCTCTCCTCGAGCCCTCTTCGCCGCCGACTCCTTCGCCAGCCGTGCAATGGCCGCAGCAGCAGAGGTAGCAGCAGGGGCGCGCGATTTTCCTTCCAAATTAGGTTCGGCATAGTCCAGCCGTGCGCGCTTCAAGTCTGGCTCGACAAGGTCGTTTGCCGCTGACGTCGCCTTGGCCAAGGCCGCGAGCTTGGCAGCTCTTTTCGCATCTTTTTGAATCCGCTTCTCTTCCTTGTCCTGCGGCACGACCTGGCTCGTGACATCCGCGCCAGGCGCAAGGTCGGCCTGGGCACGCTTCGCAGCCTTCTTTTTGGCCTTTTCCTCTGCCTCCATTGCCAAGCGTCTGTCTAGTCTGCCACGCATGACCTGCTCCTCCGCTTCGTCTGGATTGATGACGATCACATCGCCACCAGGCAGTGTGTGATCGCTCATCTGAGTTTTCGCATGCTTCGACTCGCCCGCACCTTCTATTTGATCCTTCGTCGACGTTGCTAGCGTGAAGGCTTTGCCGCAGACTGGGCAGGATGTCCCCGCTACATCCTCCTCTTCGGGGCTGGAATGTGATGATCGATAAGGTTCTCCTTCTTTGTCAGACTCGACAGCTGACGCCTTGCGCTTGGCGCCAGTGCTGGATTGCCCGTCGCGGTCCGCGCGATTGCGCTTCCTGGCGTCTCCAACAGTGGCGATGAGCCCAGATTCAGACATGACGCAACCACAAGTGGTCAGGTAGATGAACCTGCTCTTGCCGTTCAGCGACTTGGACGTTAGAGGACACGCAAAAGGGACTGCGATATCCGACGAAGAGGCAGTGCTGGGCTTGATGGACGACGCTGACTTTGACGGCGTCAGGTTGAGGACTGTCACATCCTGTCGGGAGCCAAAGTAGGTCAGGACGCAAGGTGTTCAGCTTCACGAAATGCGCCCGTGCCGATATGACGATCTACTCGTGGACTTACGCTGAGACGCTTAACGTGGCTCAGGGGTCCTCTGCTATCCTTTGCACGCTCGGCCAGGTGCATCAACACTTCCTCCTTGTTGTACATCCTTCCGAGCGCGTCGGCCACAACTTCTCCTTTGCCCGCCCTTAACGGCTTGCCAGAGAGTCGACATGTGGTCGCTTGCGCGTGACTCGAGGCAGCTGATGATTCTGAGGTCGCGCCTTGTTTAGCTCGCACGCGGACCATGTCCGAGCGGCCTGCGATGCTCCCTCCGTCGGCACCCATCTTGTGAGCTTGACAAGGTGGCGAAGGTGCGAACTTGAGGTGAACGGTTCTCCGTCGGTGAAGATGGGATTCCCCAAAGCGAGGGTCCTTATGTCGCCTTCACTTTGGGCTGACTGATGATGACGGTGGCACTCGTGATCACAATTGCGAATCGAATGGCAAGCCGAAAAAGTCATGGCTTGCGTGAGTCTGAGTCTCGACCTTGACTCATGCCTGCATGGTGACTTGAGACTCAAACTCTGAGTCAGATGGAGGTGCACGTGACAGGGGCCAATCGCGGTCCTGCTGCAGGCTGGCTGCGTGCCCCCAACGCGCGTGAGAAGGCGGGCCCATGCAGAATCAAGAATCAGGAATTGCCATCTGATGATGATCTGCTGCCTAGCTGAGCTGAGCTGTGCTGTGCTGTGCTGTGCTGTGATGTGCCCATGAGATTGGCTCACGGAGTCACACCTGTGACAGCGTACCGGGCACAGGTAGATTCAAATCAAATTCTTGGATGTGTAATTTGAGATATCTGCTGCGTCATCCCCTTTTTGGATGCGCACGGGTGCGCCAGTTGGGTGATGCACGTCGACCCTAATTCACGATTGTAAGGCTACATAGTGCTGCAGCACCCAGGCGCACCCGTCGTGTCTTTGACCTGCCCTCTAACCGACTCTGACTATCGACGCTGCCGATTCGCAGTAGTCGAGCTCCCACGCTCCAACGTTGATCCTTCGCGCTCCAAGCGGGTGGTCAGTGCTGTTCATTGCGACTTTGACTTGCGCTTCAGGACCTCCAATGTCGGGTGTCTGGACCAAGTCTAAGCAACACGATTCGTGGCTGACGTACGGTG